GTAGTTTGAACAACAGGAGTGTTTAGAGAAGCTGCAAATGCCATGAAGTTTTTTAAAACACTGAAACGGTACGACTGTAGCAAGTCTTTCTCAGCTACGCGGCTGCAACAGTGCTTTACCCCACGACACATTTACAAGGCCTCTCTCCCAGATGGTGTGATCTAAAACCCCTCACCTGTCACCTACTAAATCACAGATTTCAGAGAACTGTGCACTAAATGGTAAGTCGAAATTTCCACTGACATTCATCATTTCTGGAAATCCTGCGAAATTACCCATAACACAGTTAAAGAGGCTCATAGGACTCCCAGGCACTAAACATGAACTTTTATTAACTGGAAACATGAAAGGCTCACTCAGTAAAATTAATTTTGCACAATTCTACAATGCAAATACTTAGTATTACAATTTTAAATGTGGGCTGTATTTAATATGTTAAGTGTATTAAAAATAATTATTTTGAAGAGTGACATTTACAATTGGTGAGAATTTGATCTAACTGTGGCTTAAAGGAAAATGAGGTGGTAGTGAGTCCTTATTATGGTCTAGAATCTGTGCTGGGTCTCTTAAGTGAATCCTTATGCAAACTCTACAAAGAGGGTATTACTGTCCCCCTTAACAGATTAAGCAAAAAGAGGCTTGATGAAGTTAAGTAACAGCTGAAGTCCGCATCTGTCTGATTCTAATGTGGACAATGAGCTTCTACTTCTTCATCCTCCCCTCAAAAGGGGGGAAATTTTTAGGCTTCCTTGGTGGCTCAGTGGTAAAGAATCTGCCTGCATGGGTTTGATTCCTGATCCAGGAAGATCCCACATCCAAACTAAGCCTGTGGGCCACAACTACTGAACTGGTCGTTCTAGAGTCTGAGCCAAAACTACAGAAGTCCATGCCCTAAGGTTCATGCTCCGCAACAAGAGAAGCCACAAAAATGAGAAGCTCGCACACCACAACTAGAGAGTAGCCCTTGCTTGCCACAACTAGGAAAAAGCCTGTGCAGCAATGAATACCCAGCACAGCCAAAAATAATCAATCAATAAAATTAATTAATAAAATTAATTAATTGAAAAGGGGGAAAGTCTTTACAAAATTGCCCTTAACTCCAAAATATATTATATTTTATATTACATAATTTATATATTATATTAAAATATAATATTATCTCTAAATTTTAAGGAGGGGGGAAAATGTGAAAGTAGAAATGGCTTGTTGTATCCCCAAACTTCAATGACCATTAAAATATTCTTTCCAACAGCCCACTAATTAGAGAACTGATGAAAAACTAAGAGTCACTTGAAGGTAAAAGCAGATATTCAAAGTTGAGCTTACCAATTACTAACCAGAGGATTCTGATGAATCCAATAAGGTAGCTAGCTATTTGTCTGGAGAAAGGGCCAAGTGGGTCCTGTGTGCATCTCCTCCATCACATCTAACTGATGGGTGTGGCTGCACATGAGAGGCAGCAGAGGGAAGATTCGGGTCAGTAGTCCATGAGCCCACAGCCAAGCAAGCCTCATCAGGCTGCTTCACAACACGCCCCCATACAGACAGTGTAAAGAGACAAGCGCATGAAGCAGGCGGTTCTCCAACAGCTGCACATAACTCACTTCCTGATTTCCACCCGCAGAACCAAGGCTCAGGGTGCTGCTTCTGAACAAAGTTGCTCCCACTCGACCCTTGGCTGGCTTGGACATGGTTCCACCATCACTCCATCTAGGGAGACACCGAGGTCAGTGGCTAAGTCCAGAGCAGTGAACAGGTAGAGAAAGAGGGTCCCTGCTCTTGACACAGAGCTCCCTGGCTCTAGGCCCAGAACAAGAGTGTTGCCAAGCACTCTTGGCCACAAAAGAGCCCAAACTTTTAGGGCTTGTTTAGGTTTTAATTGTATTAAACTGAGAAACTCCATTTTCAGTTTTATTGCTTGGCATCCCGATTCTCCCTCTCACTTGGCTTTCCAATAATAAGTTCCAGTTGGGATTCAAACTGTTTCCCAGGATGGTCTCTGGTTAAAACCAGTATGGTGAAACCCTGGAGAAGTCCGAGATGAAAGAAAGGCCTCTGAACATGGGGGGAGATCAATTTAATTTTGTTGAAAAACCTATAAACACATGGAGCCATTGCCTACTGGCTCCCCCAGGCGCCTCCAGGCTCTGCGGCGCCGTCTGCAGGGCTGTGTTGAGTGCTGGCGGGAGAGACAGTGCTGTAAAGCACGCTGGCAGCATAGGCACGGTGTTCTTTGCTTCTGAGGACTCAGGATGCCGAGACCACTCTAGTCCACACATCCACAGCACTCAGACCTCATAGAGTCACTCTACTAGGACCCCTATTTGAGGAAATCCGACACCATACAGAGAAAGCAAAACAGTCCCCCTGGCAATCTTGTGTCCTGAGTCCATTCCGCTCGGCACACTTGCCCTTGCTGAACTGAGGTCCCAGTCAGCTCCCTTCCCTCCCCTCTTGCAGCCACACCAGGGATGTCCTGGCACCTTCCATTCAGCACGGGCTTTGAGAGCTGTCTTGCTCATCATCGGCTAGCTTAGCAAGGAAGAGAATTCTTTTTTGAGCACAAGAGATCCTTTTCTTTCCTAGCACTATCCAATGCTGCTTCTTCAACATTAATCCAATGATAAGGCATATTTCATGTGTCAGGTACTGTGCAAAATACTTTGGATGCATTATCTCCTTTAATCTCCACAATCCACTGAGTTAGGAATTACTGCTCATGTGCATTTTACAGATACAGATTTCAAAGCCAGCAGGTAACAGACTGGAATTCAAGGCTTGGCCCAGGTGACACCAAAGGCTCTTCCCAGTTCTACCTGCTGCCTGGAAGCTGTACCCATGGTGACGGCCACCGTCATAGTCTCCAGTGGGAAGACCACGGGTTTAGGGGTTCAGACAGCTGTGGGTTCAACACCGGTCTCTGTCTCAGAGTTTAGGGAAGTCACTCACTCTCAGCCTGAGTGCTCTTATTTATGAAGTGTGCATAATTGTATCTGGTTGCTGTCGGGATTAAATGAAAGAAGTATCCATAAACGTGCCAGGGTGGGGTCTACCACATGGCAGTTTCACAGTAGACATTACTCCCTCTCTTTCCTGGCTGCACTGGGTCTTCAATGCTGCAAGAGGGCTGTCTCTAATTTTGATGCCACGACTTAGCTGCTCCAGGGCATGTGGGATCTTCCTGCACCAGGGATTGAACTTGTGTACCCTGCACTGGCAGGCTGGTTCTTAACCACTGGACCATCAGGCAAGTCCTCTGTCCTCTACTTTCTCTTGCCAAGAAGTATGAGGCTCCTGACACTTATATTTAGTGGGAGGGAAAAGAAAAAAAAACACACAAATCTTGATCATGAATCATATGCAAACAGCGTTGTTGTTGTTCAGTCACTAAGTCATGTCTGACTCTTTATGACCCCATGGACTATAGCCTGCCAGGCTCCTCTGTTCATTGGATTTCCCAGGCAAGAATACTAGAGTGGGTTGCCATTCCTTCTCCAGGGGATCTTCCTGACTCAGGGATGGAACCAGTGTCTCCTGCATGGCAGGCAGATAGATTCTTTACCACTGAGCCACCAGGGAAGCCCAGTGGAAATAGTACTGAATCCTTAAAAGGGTATTTCTTTGTTGAGAGGGAAATGAAGTAAAATGGGAAGAAATAACTATTCCTTGTGAATGATTCTCCCAGTAAACCTGTAAAGCATTTCTTTCTTGCCTCTCTGGGGCCACCCACTCTGGCAGCTTCATCTGATCCAGCCTACCAGGCTCTCTTCCCTGCCTGTCCCTCCCCCCACCCCATTTTTTCATGCAGTTGACAAAGTGCTAATCAGATTAACAGTATTTAGTGAATAGCAGTGAACAGATGTGCATTGCAAAGAGCAGTTTTCTGGGGCCACTCTCCTCTGCTTTTGTTTATACTGAGAATTGATACTAATTGCTCTCATTCTCCAGCTTAGCAGGGAAGAAAGCACCTCCTCTGGTAGACCCTCAGGGCGTGGGGTAAGCCCAGGTCTCAAGGGTCCTGTGAGGGACGGGGACTCTGGTCACATCTTGGGAGAAGGCTGAGAGCAATGCACATGCAGTTTTTCATTTTGGGAGAGAAAACATGTGAGTGCTCGAGGGTGTGGGCAGGGCAACCAGAAGTTTGAAAGCGGTTGTGAATGTCAGTATTTTGCTGGAGAAATCATTAAGAAATATGTTTAAGATAGCTTGTGTATAGAAAGAAGAATTTGGCACCCAAAGAGGAACTACAGCCCATAAAATCGAACAAATTAGATATGTAAATACATCACGAACTGGGAGAAAACAAGCATTCTTTATGAACAAGTTTAAAAGCCAATTACCTAAAATATTAACGTTGAGAAGAAATGTTACACAATGTGGTTTTTGTTAAATTCAAGTAGGTAACTATTCTTTTCAAGTCATATAATTAATGTCCCAAATGAAAAGAAAATTTAAAAAGCTCTATCATTTAAAATACAGTTTAATAATGCTCGATTTCAGTGACTTTCCCCTTCATTTTAATCAAGCCCCCTTTATCAGTCCTTATTTCTAGGGGGAACTATTTTGAATTTCAAGTGCCTTTGATGAAAAACAGTTGAAAACTCTATGAGATAGTCTTATTTTTAATGCTTTGAGAAAGATGAAGTTATTTCTCTTTTTTGGCAAAAAAAAAAAAAAAAAAACAACAACCCTGTAGCGTGTGCAAGATTTTATTCACTATTATAAAGCAGTCGATTTGGTATCTTTACCCAAATCTAAAAATGACTGAGCAGCATCAGAATTTAACTAAGAGCTAATGATCACTGGGGGACACAGAGCAGGGCAAAGGCAAATTTTGAGATACCTGATAAGCCCATTTCCCCACTATTCTTTTCATTGTTAATATTACTAGAATTGTGAATATGCAGTTGAACCTGAGAAGGCATTGCTCACTGAAGCTCATCAAAGCAAAAGCAGCACATCATTTCATCTGAAGTCCAAACTCCCATAAACAAATATACCTGTACAGGTTGTCTTTCCAGGAGATTCCAACATCTTCTGAGTCAGCAGTTTCTCCACAGGACTGGGGAGCAGGGAGACATCTCCTGCAAGACAGCTTTAGTGAGTCAGTATCTCAGGGCAAGAAATCTTCCACCAACAAGTTAAAAACGGGCCCCTTCTATTTACATCTTTCATTTCAATATCAGTTGGAACAGTTACTATCTGGGATGACAGTTGGTGAAGAAAACCTTTTCCTTACTGGGATAAACAGAAAAGAACAAGGTTTCAACATCAGAACATGCAGACAGTTGGAACAAACTAGGGTGTGTGCACACTGTGCTTGATTTTGGTCAAAATACCCTGATTATGAAACTCGAGTGGTGAAGATCACAATGTTTCAACTGCAGTATAGTTAAAAGCAAAGGGCTGGAATCACAAGGATATTCTTATTTTTATACCATTACTACAAAAGTAGATTTGCTGTATGTACATAGAACAGACCTTTTTAAAGAATGTACAAACTGCATTTTTAAAAAAATGAAATAATGGTTCCACTGCTTTATGGCAGAGTTTTATAGATGTTCTATCTTCACTTCCGATTTATCTTCAACTCACAAAGATTTAGGACTTTTTTTTTTAATGCAAGTTTTTCTATATCTCAACTTTTATGTCAAATAGTTCATGATTTTAAGTCCAAATGTACAGCACCATGTATTTCTACATTATGTAGATACTTATTCCCAGAAACTCCTGCTTATTAGTAAGTCTTGATGGTTTCTCATTTCTTCAATCAAGGTACCTTTTACCTTAACACAGAGAGACCACCTGTGATACTGACTCTGGAAAGAAAATAAAGAAAATGAAGTGCCAAGACACTGCTGGCACTGAGATCCTGAGTTTGCGGGGAACTACTTCTATGAGGTTGACCAGCCTAGCTCTGTGTGGGCTAACTCACATATACTGTACAGATTGAGGTTCAGCTAATGCTGACCTGAATCACTAAAAAAATAAAGAATAACAATGAAGGCATCAGAGTTTGAAAGCTGTAGAACCAATCTGGATTCCTTTTCTTTTGAAGTCTGCCCAGCTTCTCCTCTATCAATATCTTTATTGTTCTCTGGATGCAACTAGAGAGCTGGCTGAAGGAAACATTTATTCTCATCTCCAGGTTAGGAACGTGTAACAGTTAACTCCTCATTTTCCCTGAGGGGATGAAATGATGACAAAGTCCACCTGCTCTCTTTTCCCTGAGACTCTGCAGTTTGTAGGTTTGTATGCTTAGGTAGATACTCCCGGTCCAGATCAGGTTTCATGCCTGATCATCCATGGATACTCCCAGAATGCCACAGGTGTCTTTCCACAGTGTTTACCCTGACTGGTCCCACCCTGTACTTTCCACTCCCACTACCTACTGCCCGGAGCCAGAGAAACCCAAACATTGTGAACACTGGACAACATCATAAATGCAAAGTTTCCAGTCTTGGACTGCAGACCAATTCCACAGTCTGTTTCTTATCCTAACAGACTTCCTTTAGTTCTTCACTGGGACCAGCCAGGTTGTTCCTGTTGCCTTTCCGAAGCCTCACCCCTCTGCCCCACCCCACCCTATCCCCATCTCTCTCCCTTTTCAGTGACTTTGTCATTGACCTTGCAATGAAATGAATACTGGTGACTCCTCCCCCTGCCACCCCCCACCAAATTCACATGTTGGAATTCTAACCTTCAGTGTAAGCACCGCCTAATCCAGGCTGCACCTTTAGGAGATGAGCAGGTCATGAGGGGGGAGCCCTCGTGAATGGGATTAATGCCCTTGTAAAGGGACTCCAGAGATTTCTCTTCCTCTTTTTCTGCCACGTGAGGATATACTGAGATGACGGCAGTCTGCCACCCAGAAGGGGGCTCTCACCATTTAGAACCTGATCTTGGACTTTTAGCCTCCAGAACTTGAGAAATGAATTTCTGCTGTTTAGAGGCCACTCTGACCATAGTACTTTGTTATAGCAGCTTAAAGTGCCTGAGATCTTGTGGGGAACAGAGAGATCACTGTTCTTCTTCCTATTTCTACACTCCCCTCTTTAATGATACAACACAAATAAGTCTACCTTCTCTGGGGTTGGGGGGTCAGGAGCAAACATCTCCATTGCTCTAAATATGCACCATTCATCTTAAGTCCTCCAACATGGCAGATGAAAAGATATATGCCTTAGTATTAGGAAATGGCCGCCTGATGCGAAGAGCTGACTCATTTGAAAAGATCCTGATGTTGGAAAAGATTGAAGGCAGGAGGAGAAGGGGACGACAGAGGATGAGATGGTTGGATGGCATCACTGACTCAATGGACATGAGTTTGGGTAAACTCTGGGAGTTGGTGATGGACAGGGAGGTCTGGCGTGCTGTGGTTCATGGGGTCGCAAAGAGTTGGACACAACTGAGCGACTGGACTGAACTGAACTGAATCAGGAAACGGGGTGTTCCCAATGCTGTGCTGCACCCACACATGTCTCCAGGCCCCTCTGTGGCCTCAGGGCTTCTACACCATTGATGAGACCCCCGAAGTCAGGAGGCTTACTGGTCATCCCACCTAAAGGCAGTGCTTAGCCACACACACAGCTCTTTTCTTTCTCTGCTTTAATTGTCCTTCACAGCACTTATTTTTATAATGAGATTGTCTCCTCCTACTATAAGGTAAGCTCACTGTCAGGACCTTGACCCCCAGTTCCTGTCTGGTACATGGCCATCATACAATGTGTTATTCACTAGATGAGTGACCTGATAGCTCTTAGTACACTGTGTTGCTTTCTCCTGTGCTTTTGCTGGACACAAAACTATACAAACAAAATCAACAACTGTAAATAATCCCCGGGCTATCTCTCCCTTTCAAGTTACTGCCCTATCTCCTTTCTTTTCTTCCTGAGAACACTTACCATAGCTAGAGTATATAATATGTTCCCTGTTTCTACTTATCAACAGGTGTCTTTCCTTACCCTAAACCATAAGCCCCCTAGTGAAGGGCTAAAATGTCCCTCCATTATGGGTCAGATTCGGTACTCAAGGTACGATCTCACTTCATCTTCCACCAGCTCTTGATCATAGTATCTCTGGATCACAGATGCAGACACTGAATCTTTCTGGCAAGTCACAAGCTGGCAGGGGAGAGACGGGTTTGAATACAGGTCTGTCTGGCCCCAAAGTTGCTCTCCTTCCATTTCAACATACTGAATGTATAAAGCGGTCTGCTGATGACTGTTAATATGTCAGTCTCCTCCAGTGACCTTGAGTGCCACACCATCCATCTCTGTGTTGAGAAAGTTAGTCTTTTTAACTTTTTCCAATCAGAGAATGTAACCATCAGGAGAGACAAAGAGCTTCCTTTTCTAACAGGAATCTATAGCATGGTTGCTGGAGATTTACAGGACATTTAAGATTTTTAAGGAAATTTACACAGAAAGAGTTCCTTCACAATGTGCTTGAATGCCAGGCTTCTTCTAGGGCGGTGGCCTTCTTCTTTTATACTATTTTCTTTTTAAAAATTTTTATTGAAATATAGTTTATATACAATGCTGCGTCAGTTTCCATATAGCAAAATGAGTCAGTTACACATATATCCAGTCACCTTTAGAGTCTTCTCTCATACAGGCCATTACAGAGTACTGAGCGGAGTCCCCTGTGCTATATGGTCCTTGTTGGTTATCTATTTTGTACATAGTAGTACGTATGTGTCAATCCCAAACTCCATGGTGGCCTTCTTTAACAGAGCTTCCAGTGAACAAACTGCTTAGGTTTACACCAAAGTGAAACTTTTAAAAATCATTAATTACACAGTCTGTATTTAATAACACTTTTAGGCACTGACTTAAAAGAGGTTTTTTTTTTTTAATGATGCGCAAAAATGAAAGGAAAAAGTCATTAATTACTAAGGTCTTTTATAATTTCAGATAGAATATTGTTTTCCAGATTTTTTTCAAATTCTAGTCCATCTGCTTCCAAAGCTGAGGTCATTGAAGAATATTATAACTGAATGAAGATGTCTGAAAATGCTGGAAGAACTTCCACATTCCTCACGTGGTAAGTCCTATACCTTTAGTGAACTTGATAGACCAAGAATCTTTTTTTTGGTTGTTGGTGGTGGGGAGCTTTTCGGGGGAAACAAGACAAGTCGGATTACATGTGAGGACGTGAGCAGAGGTCTGGCTTTGGCTCTTTCACTCATTGCTGGAATGAGCCTGAGTGAGATCCTAATCCTTACTGGCCTGAACATCCTCTTTTTACCAGGTGGGAATTACACTAGAGCATTGTTTCTCAAAGTACAGTCTACTGACCCAGGAGGGCTCCCCCACTCTCTTTTCCTGCTCGTAATAAGATGTCACTTGGGTTTTCCCCAGTGCTGACCTCTGCACACAATGCATTGATGGGACAGAGGATGTAACTGGGTAAAACTGATGAACTCAGGACATGACAGCAAACTGTCCAAACAGTCACATTCTTTGCCACCAGACTCCCTCAGCAGAACAACAAAAAAGCAGGATGAAAATTTAGTCTGTTAAACTTTGAGCTTACATGCCTTTATACAATCCTGCATGATGACATGACTTCTGTGGCACACTGAGGCATGGTGGTAGCCCTGAGGAAAAATGCCCGTGGATGGTTTGAAGCTGAACTAGCTGCTCTTCATTGGAATAACCATCCTGACTTGAAAGAACATCTGACAGACATATGTTGAGAGATCATGTTCAGTCCTGGGTACTGGGCAGACATTTTCTCAAAAGTGGATGACTGAAGCTTGTCATTACAAGAGAAAACATCTGGCTGTATTCACGATCAAGGATAAAAATTATTCTTTTGAGCAGCATTAGAATTTTGCAAAACTTGAAGCCATCCCCAAGAGCCTGAGCTTTCCTATACTTAGTAAGTTTTTAGATGAGACTGGTGTTTATTTTAACAAATAAGATTTCCAAAATACTGTATAAAATGACATATATAGAAGACCTGCATAATTCACTGCACTAATGTTTTCTTCCTCCAATTTTATTTACTGATTTTTTACTGTGTTGGGTCTTTGCTGCTATGAGGGCTTTCTCCAGTTGCAGCAAGTGGGGGCTACTCT